AAAAAAAAAGGAGAGGGGAGGACGCCTTGATGGATGACTGGGTAAAGAGGAGAGAGGATTAGGTGCAGTATTTGAGTTGATGGTAGATAGTCTGGAATCAAATCGAACAACGAAGCCTTGTTGTGACCCGCAGGAACTTGGATTTTGAATGGATTATTAGATTCCTACTCCCAAAAAGAGCCTCGGATTACAGGCGTTGTGGGAATGAACAGCTCGAGAACCTGGGTGGATACTGTGTATATATACTCTGAGATGAACTCAATTTCCAACAGAAGCGGTTTCCACACTACCTCGAGCCAATATCGAGAACATCTTTCGTAGTATAGTGGTTAGTATGCGAGCTTGTCATACGAAAGGATGATCCACACCCTGGAGTAACAACGCTCGAGACCCGGGTTCAATTCCCGGCGAGAGAGATTTTTGCTTCCTTTTTGCTACCGTTTCGGCACGCAATATTCTGCGACCACGTTTTGTCTGGACGAAGCCATCTGAAGATAACGATGTTACATTCTCTGTCCTTCCATCTCCATCTACATACACACCTTCCTGTTTGATTTGTTTTTTTTTGTCTTTTTTTATTTGATAGGCAGGACTGCTTTTGGCCCCTTGGCCAGCTTCGAGCACCAACGCGCGTCGGCCGCTGAAAGCCAACCAGCAGACTCATCGCACGACCCCGGCGCTTAACGCCTCTAGATGTTAATTTCCACCCACCAACCGAGGTTCTATCAACCTACCAGAAGTTCCTGGCTCTTGATTAGCCGCAAGAACATATGTATCGACGGTTCTCTTTCTGACCAGGTGAAATCTGACGCTTTCGCCTCGTACTCAGCGCCATTCAAGACCTTGGAACCTAGTGCAAGTTGCCCATAATTATCGATGTATCACAGCTGCTGCTTCATGATCCACAACTACACCAGTAAACAAACAAAGTAAGATGAGGAGTTCAGAAAAGTTGCTCACCTACTTGATACCAGCATACATTCTAGACATATTTGTACTATACCCGGCTACTACTTTGGTAACCCCGAGCTGCGCCCCAACAAGCCTTACTTCTTCTTAGTAAATTACTGTTAGGTGCTCTCTACGGTTTGTAGTGTGCTTATGTCTTTGTAGAGGCAATCAATACTCCGAGAGTTTCCAAGCACACCACCCCTTATGTATCATGGGTGACTCTAGACCCGCCTTATGCATCCATTCATGAGGTGTATCAAGCCCTTGCTGCGGCGTACATATAATGGGTCTGTGCGGTAATCCTAATTGAAACTTGAGGCGTTGTTTATAATATAGGACAGTGTTGCCTCCCAAACTTCTTGCCAATAGAAGCCCTTGAGTATGATTCTCTGCACCAGTTCCAGGCATTAAATCTAGAAACTCACTTGTTTCAATGTTTCACTATTCGAAAACCACTGCACGACAACAAACGATAGAAACGAAGCGAGAATGGTGTACATGCCGCATCACGTGACAGACGCGGGGGAACGTGGGCATCGTTCCAACCCAGGCCCTGCCCCCAGAGCGAAAAACGGTCGTTCATCGCAGGCTCGTAATAAAAGGCATACAACACACAATAACACCAACTGCAAAACGAAGGCAAGGTTTCCTTCTCTTCGTGTCTTACAGGAAGCACGGCCTTTTGTTCCCAAGCCGTCCGTTCTGCCGGGGACTCGCGGTCGCGCTGACAGAGTCTCTTAATCCTCTTGTTTGTTTCCTTATAAAAGGCACCTGGACGCGGTCTAGTCGTTGGCCTCGTTTCTCATTACGGCACCATGGACTCGATCAGATCCTGGGAAACCAATGATGTCAGCTACAAAGTCAGTACAACAACTTTTACCAAAACCTCGCGACTTCCCTTCCTCTGGAAACGGCCTGATGGCTCATCCTTCACCTGGTTCAGGTCTTGGTGAGGCATACGGAGCATCTGTTAATAAGTTATCAGGAGGAAAAAAATAACTAACGAAAGTCGAGTGATGTTAGGAACCATGAGCGTATTGCTAATGAAGCTAGAGCATTGAAGCTCGTATCTACCAGCACGACGATTCCAGTGCCTAAACTACTCGGGCACGGGGTTCATCCAGATGGCCGGCAATACCTGACCACCGAATTCATAGAAGGCATAACCCTAAATCAACTTTCGGAGCGACCATGTTCATTCCTAGGAGAACAGCACTACGACAGCAGCTCACGGTGCAAAACCTGCCAAGAAAAGGCGTCTTCAAATGCACTTGAATTCATCCAAGAGATTGTTCTGCCCCAGCTCGCTCAATTGAAATCTCGCCAGCGCGGTCTTGGGGGTTTTGTGATGCCTCCTCAGTGGCTCGCTGCCGATATCCGGCCTGGATGGAAAGATCACCGCTGGGGGACTCTGCCTCTTAATGAGGCTAAGTATGTTTTCCAACACGGCGATCTTGCACCTCACAACATTATGATAGACCCGCAAACCCTGCAAGTCAAAGCCCTCATCGATTGGGAGTATGCTGGGTACTTTTTGCCTGGAATGGAGAGATGGCCTGGAACGCTGGATCCAGATGGCTATGCTCAGCGCTCCTCCCAACTTGCCAGTGCAATCATAGAGTTCATTCCCATAGACTATCTTGCATGCTATAATGAATTGAGTGATGAGGATAGAGCGGACTGGGATGAGCTGATCGCCGATGGAGAACTTCCTCGTTATGACCAACTGAAGCAGATGGCACCAGATCACCTGTAAAGCAGATGGTATCGAGGAGAATCAGAATGGAGACGCAGGCTGTGTGGAAGAATTCAAGAGACTGGTTTATATTGAGTTTATATTGAGCTTGCCCTCTCACGATCTGATTTTCTTGCCAATTCTCGCTCTGCGGTTCCAAACAAAAGCCAGCAGTCATAATATAGAGAGAATTGCAGGACATTCCACTGGAGCTCGCTGCCATTGGTTTCTTGTCTGATATATGTACAATGTTTTGTTTTTGAGAGACGCCAAAGGTGGAGGCGGATAAGCACAACTATTTCACAAAGTCCCGCTTTGAATACTATGCACTACCTCAAGTGCTATGTACCACATTGAATACATTGATAATCTTTGAGAAGACAGAACACGCCAACACAGTCAGACCGTCTCTGCTATCGAGGTTACAGAGTCTTTCCTACCAATTCATCTTCTTTTTGGAGGCGGCATCTCAAAATCCTCAGCCTTTCTTTTGCGAACATGGTTCCCCGTATGACCATAGACAGTGTCATGACAGACTGCCGGATCGCCCAAGTGTTTGTCTTGAAATTTTTCACGAGGATTGCAGCTCTCCAGTGATGGGGTGCTCAGAGACTGAAGATGGTCACTGCCACTCGTTGCGCTGAGAGACGCATCTGCGATATTGATCCTCGAGCCTGACAGAGAGATGTGCAGTACACTGTGAGTGCGAACAGTACAAGGGAGTGCACAGTGTACAAGTGTCAGATCTGCAGTGCTACTATGTAGTACAACACGGACATGAGCAAGACATCGATCAAGAAAAAAGCAAGACATGTCTCCATAAAAAACGACCGGCATCTTGGAGCCAAAGCCTGGTACTACTAGTTAGTACCTTGTCGTTCCATCGTAGCCACTTGCCCGCTCCAAAGTCAGTCCTCCAATGCCCAAAGTGAGAGCTTCCACGGCAGACCGCCAATCATCAGCTCTTCCACATGAGTCGTGGCTCCTCGCTATGCCAAGTGCCTACTCATTCCTGGCACACGTGTTCCATCTTGGCAACTGGCTAGGACAAGGTGCGCGCAGACTTGCAAGCGAGCACAAGCGTACCTGGGCAAGGCGCAAGCAAGGCACTCCATAGAACAACTCAAGACACCACCTTCTGACAGAAAGGGACCTACCTGTATACACACACACACACACACACACACACACACGTCGCGAAATATACATCAGGGGGCTGCGCGCGTCTTGGTACCGTCGGCTCTCGCAAGACAATCGATACAAGTGCTTCTCTTGGTAGCGTTGCGGCTCCCCTTGGTGCGTGCGTTGTTGGAAAACATCAGATTGGTTCCCCGGGATCGAGATGTCAACTTCGCTTGGACAATACTCCTCCACATGCAAAGCCCACGGAACGATGATGCTCTTCTGCGGGATCGATCCAGCACTATGCAATACACACATGCGCCGGAGCCGCCGTTGCGGCCGCGGGGCTTGGGCGGCTGCGGAGTGATGCAATACACACGTCTAAATTATGGTACCATGTACATAAAATAGACACGATACTCTGACCAGCGGCAGCAAGCGACCGGCCGCAGAGACGTCGCTCGACTGTGCGCCCCCATTCCACTTAGACCAAGCCCCCAAAAGTGATGGTCGCTGCAGTCGACCAACAGAACAGAAGTGCCTGTCTGTCTGACACGACTTGACACGAACTGACACGAGCATTCGGACTGCTTCTCCGCCGCTCCCATCGGCTACGCCGCCACGCGATTGGATCGTTGATTTGGGCTCCAATCATTGTGCAGAGGCACGGTGGTTTTCCACAGTCCTAGTAGCTGTCCTTGTTCCAGAGCATCCAAGTACATGGAAATGCACGTGTGCTATCGATATTGTGCTACTTTAGCAAGTTGTATTTAACGATGATAATGTAGTTCCCCGTTACGAAAGCGCGGTGATACATATCTCTGCTTATCTTGGTATACTACTGCAACACGTCGGTCACCTCAGATGGACACCTCGATACACATGCCTGGTTTGGGAATGGATTGAACCTTGAGCATATGTGACGTTGACAGCCATAGAACAATGCAAGACCTTTTCCCACCTTGTTTTCCGAATATCATCTATACTCCGCTTGGCCTCGTCATGTTGATATCCAAGTATGCAGATACGCTTTCGAACAGACATGATCCGTACGGGTGTATAAGCGACCAAGAGATAGACACTTGCCCGGATACTTTGGAACAGCATCTAGTCAAGACAATCAACAACAAAGGTGTACGGCAAATAGCCTCCCAACCAGCCAAGCTACCGGTTGGTCTGGGCTTGTGTAGTCTTTGGTCCTTTACTGCTACTGCTGCTACTACTACTACTACTACTACTACTACTACTACTACTACTACTCCTCCTCCTCCTCCTCCTCCTCCTCCTCCTCCTCCTCCTAGTCTGGGCGGCAACGGCGGGCCTTGGCGCAAGTGACAAGTAACACCCAAACCATTCCAAATCAAGTCTTCATCGCGAAAATTCACCAAGTAGAGACCCGGAGACTCGGGACATCTTGATACAGACAAGGACAATCTGGCAGTGGATCAAGCTTAAACTAAGGTCCAGGGGCCAAAGTGCCTGATTCAGATGCCGAGCAAGGACTCTCGCAGAGGACCGTGGACCAGGGATGATGCAGTGACAGCTGAGCCTTGTGATGCTGTGGACCAGAAAGGCAACAGATCAGATCCCACAGTCTTTTCTTCTCTT